AGTAGACTGGAGTGGGCCGAAACCCGGGGTCTGATGAAACTTCAAAGAAACTGGTCCCCGGCAGTATCTTGAGGGGAGCAAATCGATGCATATTCATGTACCGGAACTTTTCTTTTTTGCTTGAATTCTCAACTGTACTTTACAAGTGTTCATTTACAGGCACCTAGAATTCATTTCATCACTAACTTTAAGCATATGAGTGTATGATTGGTTGTACATTATTTCTATGTAGTTAGATATGATCTGCAACTTTTACTTGGTCTGATATGTTATGTGTTTTATGACAGCTTTTGAGATAATATGTTTTGTTACCTCATTCGAAATACGACGTCGTCTACCAAGACAAATAGCTTTTTATTAATTTTGGTCAAAGCAAGACAAAATAGCTCAAATTGGAAAAATTATTGCGTGGTACTGAAAATCGCAACGATATAATATTGGTGGATGATGAATTTTGTATTAACTATTAAGGCTGTAATCTTCGTAAATATCCACTTGTCTTGTAACATGTGGATTGATTTATATATAGAGAATATAATTTTTGTTTTTAACGAAGAGGTGACCAGTTGATGATTTTGTCATGGAAGTTGATCCTTTTGGGGGCCAGAAAGACTCACAGAGACATTTCAACCTCTCATGGTCATCATTGTGTAATTTACAAATGCTAGAAATTTAACTCATGATATGCTGTGTGAATATAGCGACATTATTTAGTACTACACAATAATTTCTCGTAAAATTGTTAATGAAAAGAAATATCGTCTTTCTTTTTCGTTTGATTTGAGAACATTGTGTTTTGTTTGTCATTTGAATTAATGGTGGAGGGTCAATCAAAGTAGTCTTACTTGCAACTGAAAGAAACACCTACTAGTTAAGGACCACAAGCGTGCTGAAAACATGAACAAACGGGTCATCTAATCTCTAAAGTGCAGAGAAGCAAATATTTAGAGGCCAGATAACCAATATTCAAGGGAACGTTTGTCTTTGGCAATCCAATTTACCAATTAGTTTGATTTTTAAAATAATTTTTACAGTTTGATTTATTAAATTTACTTTTTATCGTTATTTTCAGATTATTCAGTAATTTTGAAACTATTAAATAGTCTTAAAAACACCAATTTTTCTTGATAAAATCCCTCAACTTAGCTAACATTTTCTTATTCAGATAAGATTCATTTGGCAGGGGAATCTAACTCTACTTGTGAAGCATTTAAGTACCAGCGCTTGATGCCACATTGCCACTAGTCATAATTCTAATCGCTTTATGTCGGTGATCTTGTGGACAACTATAAATAGCGAGTTCAAATCTAATATGATTGGCTTGGCTTGATTCTCATCCATGACGTACTGAAAATTTATCAGTTTAGCAATTAGAATTTGAAAAACCAGTCATTATTTTTTAAAATGAAAAGTATTGATGTGTGATTTCTAGCTATCATTCCTCTTTTGGACGAGTAATACTTCCTTGAAACGGGAATGCACTAATTCTCTTCATTTTTTCACACATCATGTATCTCATTCTCTTCTTTTCTAACCTTTTGTACGAATCACGTGATTTATGAAGAATGAAGATAATGAACATATCCCGTTTCAAAGAAGAATAGTTCTTATTCTCTAGACTCTTGCACACACGAAAAATGGAAGTTAAAGATAAGAGAAGTCATGGAAATTATGCCATTCTTAATTTCATTTGTGTATAAATTTGCAGAACAAGGGGGAAAAGAATAGAAAAGCATGGAAAAGGGGTTTTGGTAATTATTGGGGTTGGAAGGACAAATTAAGAGAGGGAAAAGGAGGGGTTTTTGTTGAGGTGAGATTCCATGGTGGAATATGACATGCAAGGGTGCCGAGAAAGGGAGGGAATAGAAGAGAAGAAAGAAGCTTTTAGTTTGTCTGGTTGTGGGAGCAGAGGGAGAGATAAAAGATGCAGTCCCTTTTACAAGGCAAATGGCATATATTGTACATTAACCCTGCAACTTATATACAAAACTTTCTAAAAGCTTGGATATATACCATAACCACCCAAACCTTCCTTTCATTAATACCTAGGTCTCCCTCTCTCTCGATGGATATACCTTCCTTTCATTAATCCCTAGGTTTCTCTCTCTTGATGGATATACTGAGTTGTAACAAGGATTCATTCCTTTGATTTGGTCAAAAATGTTTGAAAGAATGTTATTTTAGAGACGATAAGTGATTCACTATTAATCACATGATAAAGTTTTAGAGATGGTTGAGTGACCTACTACTAATCATACTGATATTGTTTCTAATTTACACTCAAGTTCAATAGGTGTGAGGTTTTATATGAAAGATTTTAGTGCAATTAGTAATGACATCGTTTAGCTTTTGAGACATATTTTTGTGAGAGTTACTTTATAATATATCTCAATTATCCAACCGTATACAGACATAATGAAACTCTAATTATCGGAGCATCGTAGGGCATTTGAACTTGATCGAACAATGTCCTAACCCGATGTGATAATTTGGTCTTTATTCAAGATGGTCATCAATTAAAGAAAATCAAACCAATTAGCTAGTGACACCTTTTTGGGATTGATTCAAACCTTAAAATTCAAAACCCTAAACCCTGTAATTCATGCACGAAAAACACGACTACAATTATATATGGTAGGATCAATGGTCAAGATGTGATGTAATTAAACTGCCGGGTCCATGAACAAAAAACATGACTGCAATTATATATGGTAGGGTTTGTTGCAAGGTTGTGCTGCCAAACAAAAGGCTGTGGCGATGTTGCACAGAAATTAATAAAGAGCAAGTCCGTCAACCAAAAAATGAAGACTCAGAATTATTTTTCAAAGTTGTATCGAGAGAGAGAGAGAGAAAGAGAGAGAGAGACATCTTTTTCATAAACGTTGACATTTTACAGACTTTCATTTTCTTTTGTTCATCTGCTCCTAATTCTCTTTTCTTCTCTCTTTAGCTGGGTTTATAGTACCACTAGCCAGTATGCATGTCCCCGGACCACCACCACACCCAGCACAGATTCACACACCCTGTCACACCGAGCTTACCTTTCTCTACTCACGCTTACGCCACGTTTTATAGTCTAGGGCTCACTTATCTCTCTTTAGACAACGCCATGTTTCTTTGAAATGCCCAATTTTTCACTAACGCAAAACCCCAAAACAAGTGTCCTAAAAAAGCTCTTAAAATTGTCCATTATGCTTTTTCAAAGAGGAAAGAAAATCTCAATTATATATATGAAAAATGATAAACAACCATTCCCATGTTTAATCATGTTTGTTGTTTTCTTTTGATTTATTCAAAACGATGACCAAATGAAAGCAAGGTATGTGAAAAGTTAAAAAAAAAAAAGAGTGAAAATCATCTCTCTATATATGAAGATATACTTAAATTCTCAAATTAGCACTGGTCCAAAATCTCCATACTTCATAAGAGAAATGCTAAGGAGACTTAAAGTGAGACTATCCATCATGTTTTTAGCATAATATTTTATAATGTTGGTACGAAAATTGTATCAAAAATATAAGGTGGCGGATAATCCATATAGGGAGAGTTATACTTTTAAGAGAATCTCCTTAGCAATCATGATAAGAATCATCACATAGATGGAATGGATAAATGATTTGACATCTTAAAATTATCTTCATGGAATATAATTTATTTGTTTAATTATTTTGAACACTTTCATTTGTTTATGCATTTTTTGAGAGATATTTCAATGTGTCACGGGATAAATTATTATACAAGCAGAGGAAAATTTTTATTTATTTATTTTAATTATCCCTTTACTTGTATAATGATGTATGACCTATATTCTCGTGTGTGTGTTTCAGGCACAACAAAAATCTCTTGCATTTGTCGGATGATAATTATTAGATCTTGATATATCTAGTGATTCACGGATCTACGTACTTTACCAACTTGAAATTTAATAATTCATTGCTTGACTACTAGGCCAATTGAAGCTACTATTCTAGCCAGTTCACAAGTAATTAACGTACAAGGCCATGCAGTGGGTGCAGCAAGTCACAAGAAAAGCCATGAGTGAACAATGTATACTCCTTCCTTCATGATATTTCTCTTATTGCTTCTCCTTCTTACTTATTCAGTGATATTTCTCTTATTGCTTCATCTTCTTTCGAACTTAGTGTATCTTTATTTTTTTCTTTTATATTCACAACAATATAATTATCTATGATAGCAATGTTGGAGTAAAGTAACATTATTGTTTTAATTAAAAAAAAAAATCTCTCTTATTAATTAATATTAAAAAAAAAAATTAGAATCCAAATCCCTGTCTCCGGTTAATCAGAGAAAAACTTCTCAAATTTGTGACTGAATAACTAAATATAATGCATGCATGTATATATGGTGCCACCACTGTATATTCAAGTGTCAACGTTACTGTTGGGTTGAGTTGAAGTGTCCAAGGGTACATACGTCAATCCTCAGCACGTATGGGACCCTCTATCGATATGATTGCTTCACTTGTTGTAATTTGAGAAATGCTTTTAATTATAAAAAACACTTGAAATGTTTTCTACAAGAATAACATAACTGATTCTTCATACATGATACACTTAATTGTTTTTAAAACTTAAAAAAAATATTTAATCTAAAAACGTTTTCAATAATTTAAAATATTTTGGTCATTTGCTTGTAATAAGTTGTAATAAGCCATAAATTTCGTTAATTGTACCTCGTTAATTGTACCCAATTACCAAGTATGCACAAGATCAATGTCGGCATATAAGTTCACTTAAATTTTGATGATAAAATGAGATTACCAATCAGACCTTCAAGATTATAAATCTAAACATAGGGCCACCGGCCATGCAACGCCCCTCATGTAACGTACATTTCATATTTAGAGTTAGGGTTTCTGTTCTATTTTTTTACCAACGAAGGTCTCAACGAAAATAAGAAAAAGACTGAATAAGTCATATAGATTCTAGAACTAACAAATTTGAAGAAAAATAAAATGCAGAAATAAGTCGAAAAGAAGATATAGAACTGTTTGAAATAATCTTAGGGAAACTGGGAAAGTAGTACTGCAATTACAAAACGAAGATATTCTCGAGAAGGACTTCATTTTAATTTCATCATTTTTCGGGGCATACGAGGCAGGGGAATTTCCGCCATTGAAGAAACGCTAAATTACCTTTTTACCCTTGCGCGCAAATTTCTGACTCGAATACTCAACTCAATAGTCTCCCCACGTTTCCGAAGCAGTAGTAGTCTCAGCGAACCCGAAACCCTGGGGCTTCAGCTGCGAATCAAGGCCACCAAGACGCTCAGACGGCGGCTGATGGAACCCTACTCCACCGGCGTACGGTAGCATGTCCTTAACGTGAACAGCGCGAACGTTGTTATTATTATTATTATTATTCCCAGTGCCATCGCCATTCAGCCCTAGAAAGTCTCTTGTCAGACTGTCAGTCTTGCGCCACGTGGAGACATCTCCGGACGTGAACCCGCCTAGATACTCGGTGGAGATCATGTGGCTCGCCGTTCCAAACTCTCCCACGGTCAAGCCCGCTGACTGACCCTGTTGGGCTGCTGCTGCACCAACGGCTGCAGCCTTTTGGAGGAGTGCAGTAGCTGAAAGGTGGGCTGATGACGTGGAGGGGTTGGAGTTGGGTTGTGTGCTGACGTGGAGGCCTGGGAAGGGTGAGGTGATCAGGCCATTGTGGGGTTGTTGTGGTTGTGGCGGTCGTGGTGGGAAATGGCGATGAGACTCAGGCTTGATGAGATGATGAAGTGGGGAGTTTTGGGTGGGATTAGTGTTAGGGTTCTGATGAGATTGTGGTAGGTCCCATGGGGTGAGGGAGATGGTGGTGAAGGGAAGCAATGGTGTGTTTGGGTTTGTGAAGTGCTGTTGTGGGTGGGTTGGAAAAGGGAAGAGGGAGATTTGAGGTGTAATTGCAGCGGTGGTGGTTGTGGCGGTGGCAAATTGGTTTGCTGAGAGTCTTGCACTTTCTTCAGCCAAAGCATCACAAAAAGCCCTGTGAGTTATGAAGCTATCCTTCCTGAAAAATGTTGGATCACAAGCCAGAGGAGCAAGTTTGATCAATATGAGAACTAAAATACCCAATGCAACGTCGAATTCAACCCAATGCAACGTCGAATTCAAGACTTGTTACCTTTAGTTGTATAATTCAACTTGTTAATTTTTAGTTGTATCACAAAGCTAACAAGTTATAAGTTATAATCAATCATCATCGTATATAGCATGTACTTTAATCTTAAATTGGAATTTGATTTGGATCAAGATAAATGAAATGAGAGTCCAGTAAATATAAGGAGGAATTTAATTAGCAGACAAAGAACACAGCTACACAACAAATGCATATGATAGAAACACATTGTTCATATAGATGGTGCAAATTTGTGTCATTTCATTTGTTAATATCGCTCCTGCATAGATGGAAGACATATAAAAAAAAGGTTTTCCGCACATGCATGTGGGATAAGATCACAGGGATTAAACCGTCAAAAACCCAAAGAAAAATATACTTATAAGATGCATGCTATAATTTGATTGATGTGTTTAGTAATGCATGCAAAAATAAGCATTGATAATGGAAATGTGGAGAAAATTACGAAGATCCAAAAAAATTTACTTGAAAAAAGGGACTCGTGCATGAAACAAGAGGATACACAAAATCACAAGCCAAAGAAGGCAACTGAGAAAGAAGGATAGCAGCAGATATTCTTTGCAGATTTATCAGTTTTCATGATGACTCTCTGCCTTCTGCAAGTAATTGATACCACATACTTGATGCCTAAAGGCCAAAATAATGAAAAAATAAAATAAAAATAAAATACAAGTTCACGGGTTTTCTCCAACCATGAAATATATCCAAAAAGTACTTATATTTCTCTGACTTTTTCTTAGGTTCTCCATCATTGTTTTGTAGACCAAATAGAATTAGAATTCTCTTCCCTTTTTTTTTTTTATCCCTTTCCATCCCATATTTTCACTCTTTATTTTGTTTTTTTCTTTTTATAAAAAATTAATATAAAATGTTGACGTGGTTTAATCGCGACCGTTTAAATAAGAGGAGAGGGGAGATAATCCTTCTCCTCCGACCAGATATGCACTATGCAGACACTCCATCGCAAAAATAACAGAACAGGGAAAAAAAAAGGAAGGGATCTGGATTCTCTCACCTTCCATTTTCCCCTCCCCTTCCTCCCTCTCTCCCTTCCCTCCCCTCCCTCTCTTACTATTTGAACGCTCAAGATTAACATATATCAATCCTCTTGTTTTATCTTCACTGTAGAGAGAGAATGAAGAAGAGGAAACTGAAAGAGGAGTGGAGAGAAGACTCCATATGAAAAACCAAATAGGATTATTTTCGTCTATGAACTTGAGGACACGGCATATAAACCGAAAAAGTTACATAATTTTTGTTCTTTTTATAAAAAAGGTTTGACATTTAAATTTTCAAGCACGAGCACTATCTACGTACAGAAGGCAGGTTTCAGGCAACAGTCACTTGTATTAATGGTGTACATTTTGGTGCAACCTGCAACACTGCATTCAAACCTTCAGATATATATTCCAGGCATAATTTATTACTATTCCTGTGTAAAAACAACCTCAGAAACAAAAACAAAAACCCATGGAAAAACAAAAAACAATGATATGTTCTCAGATAGATATAAATTATAACATGAGACTTCCCAATTTAAGCAAAAGACCAATTTTTTGTATGGATCACATTGGGTCCGAACTCATGAAAATTCAAGAAAAAACACAATTTCCAATTTTTTTTTTAGGTTTAAAGAAAAGAAAGGGAAATTAATTAATCACCTGGAGAAAAGGGTTCCACAGTCACATCTATATTCTCTTGTACCACAGGTTTTGGAGTGAGCCTTCCAATCAGATTGAACAGCATAGATCTTGGAGCACTTGTCACACTTCCACTTCTTCTCCCCATGCTTCCTGCAAAAGTGTTTTTTGATCCCTGTGAGGTCACCAAGTGCTCTTGAAGGATGGTGATGAACACATGAAGGCTCAGGACAAACATAGGCTCTCTTTCTGATCTGATCCTTGCTGTTCCTTTGCTTCAGCTTCCATGGAAGGTTGTGGCCTCTCCTGTGAAGCTGCAGGTTTTGATCTCTTTGAAAACCCTTGTTGCAAATTTCACACACAAATCTGTTTGTGGCAAGTAGGGTTTTTGGGGATAATGCAATCACTTCAGCATCTGGATCTGGAACGCATGAAACAAAGATATTACTTTAATCTAAAAATAGACAAGTTGGCTAGAGCTGCGCTTTCCCCTCTGCACAACCAAGTTTGAATCTCTCCCCGTAGTCATTTAAATGAAATTTTTTGTATAATATTGCCTGCCTTAAAAAAAAAAAAAAAAAAAAAAAAAAGCTAGAGAGTCTCTAAGTTAATGCGACACAACTGAAAACACCGGTAATTATATCGACAAAAGTCAAATCCTAGAACATCTGGAATCAATCAACCAGAGATTAGTACATACCGGGGTTTCCGGGGAGGCTTCTTTTCTTTTTAATTTTGTTGGGTGGCTGATCAGACTGATGAGAAGAAATATTGGTGGAAAGGAGAAGAGGGTTTAAGGCAGCAGCAAAGTCTGAAGAAACACTATTAGCTTCCTCAGACAAAGAAGTGGAATTGGACATGGAGATTGGAAACATGGTTAGTGTCCAAGCTTCTTTGGACTAAGGAAAACTCCAAAGAGAGAAAAAACAAATTAAGGCTAGCTGGATAAGCTGAGAGATGAGACTGAGAGAGAGATAGATCTTTAGATATTAGAGAATCTGAGAACTTCTTCTCTATCCCACTTTAGCCTTCGCTTTTATTTGCACCTTTGAACACACAATTAGCAGGGAAATGAAAAAAAAATATTCATTTTTGAGGGGTCAAAAAGCAAAATATAAAGATTTTCAATCTCGTGAAGTAGTGACGATGATGATGATTCTGATGATGATGGGTTATTCGATCTCAACTCCAAGTCACTATCTTAGCTAGGCCATGGCATGGATTGCTTCTCTGAGCAACTCTGCAATACCACCAATACAAACCTCTCTCTCTCTCTCTCTCTCTCAGATCATCATCAAGAGCTGTTGTCCATGCAAATCCAACATGGAAAGAATACAGGCAATAAGATGTTCTCTCTCTCTCTCTCTCTCTCTCTCTCTTCACTATCCAATAACCCTCTCCTTTTTTTTTTCTTTATATGATTCTATAAATTTCAAGTTAGAGAGCGACAGGTGGAAATTATGAAGAGGATATTTCAGTACTACTCAGAAGCAGCTGGTTATTGTAGGCTTATAGTGTACAGTACTACTTCTGCAGCTGTGTGATGATTATGGTGGAACTGTGGAAGACTAAGGAAAACAATGGTGGGGCTAGAAAAACTTGGAAATTTCTGAATTTTCTTGGAAGAAACTAAAATTTAAAAAATGCTAAAAGATAAAAAAGAAAGAGTGGTGTTATTTTAAATAGAAAGTTAGATTACAACCCTTATATAAGATAAAGTTTAGATTAAAGCTGGTACAAGATTCGAAATTGAGTTTAATCTCTTGATTCTATTTAAATGCCATCATTTATATTTTATGTCATTTGTTTTTGGTAATTTCATGATTTTTCTTTTTCTAAGTCTATACTAATTCACTATAATTTATTTCGGTACATATATTTAGGTACACTAACTTATTAATTATAAACATATTTCGTACAAACGTTTAGGTACCCAAATTCATTATAATTAAGACATTTCTACACACTAATTCATTATAATATATTTCAGTACAAACATTTAGATACATACTTTTCGGTATAAACAAGTCAATTTAATATATATATATATATATATATGGGTACAATCATTCTTATGTTTCACCAATTTCTTTTAATGTTTTTTCATTTAAGTTTATTTAGTTTTTCAAAATTTAATGGAAGAAGGATAATTTGAGTATTATAAAAGTTTTACCCTTTTTGTCTTTTCTCTTTATATATATAGATGGTAAAATTCAATTGTATATTGATGTCTGATAAGCAAATGTGTTAATTTTAAGTGTCTAATTTAAAAAAAAAAAAAAAAAAAAAAAACACACACACACACACAAAGTGGAGGGAAAAGGCTATAGCTATTTAGGGAAAGAGCCAAAGGAAGTCAGGCAAAGCAAAGAGGAAGAAGCACAAATCCACTAAAATATTTTGGGTAATTTTTTATTTCTCTCTCTCACTATCCCTTTTTTATGAAATAATTGTTTTTGTGTTAGTTTTTCTTTTGGAAGGATGACGTTGGCACTTTCTGTCTTTTCCTTTGTTGCTGTAATAAAACACCCAAACCCTAAAAGGACCTTGATTTGAATATTAAAAGGAGGGATATTTGTTTACAGGAAGACTTAGAAGGAGAACACGAAGCAGCTTAAAAAGCTTTGTCAAGGTGGTAAAAAGGCAAAGAGATAAATAGAGATGCATGGACGGACCTTTCTTAACTTTATTTTTTTATAATACCCTACTACTACTAACATGATTGATTCACTGATATGTAAGAATATGAGTATGGAAGTAATTGTTATATCCGGTTGATTCAAATTGGTACAGTTAGATTGAGATACTAGAGAGAGAGCCAATAATATTATTTCTTACCCCGTAACCATATTATTGAGAATTTATAATGACTTTGTTGATTTAAACACACCACCTTCTCTATCTGCAATTATTTGTGCAAAGTTGTCATTGAACTATTTGGGGGGTTTTAGAATTTTATTCAACTCAATTGCTGGTGGTCATTGTATAGTTGAGGATTTTTCTTTCCCCTCCTCTGTGTCTGTTGTGGCCAAGCAAACAAACCCCACCAAGGGGGGCAATTTAGAAGGCCCTCTACCGTCTGCTCTTTTTCTCTTATAACTTACTTTATTCCAAACCCAAATCTAAAGCCACAAGCAAATTCTCCATTTTGTCCCCTTGGGATTACCAAAAGTGTCCTTGGCAAGGGATTCTCTTGCTTTGGAAGCCATGCGTGGCTTAACTAGCATGGGCAGCAACCATGCAAAACCAATCCCTTAAGCCTCAGACGTGTAGGGCATATAGGACCCCATTTGCGAGCTGCATGTTGTTCTAAATTGTTTGTTTCTCATATAAATCCTTTGGAAATTTGGAATCCTATGTGGTTTTCTTTTGATCTTTAAATTTTTTGAATATGCAGGGCTTTTTAGTGAGATTCACGTTCTTTTCTTTTGGGATAAGATGAGATTTATGCTTCACTGATTAACACCTTCAGGGAAAAACAGTGCAATGTACAATTGGCCGAAAAAAAAGAAAAAAAAATGAAGATAAAAAAATTAATAAATCATATAAACTAAGTTAGAATAAAAAGAGCAAGTATAGCACTCTAACTGTAAAATCATCATAACCTAAGAAGGCAATATTATCTGTAAAACCATTGCCCAAATTTTTTTGCCCAACCAGTTCCCCTCTTCACCAACTTAACCTAAATTTGTGTAAAATTAGGAACTGAATCCTTTTGGTGTTAACTGAAAATTGGCAAACAAAGAGATCCTTGTGGTTGTTGGGTTCTTTTTGTTGTTGTTTAGTGTTTGGGTTGATTATGTTTTCTTACTGTTTATGAACTTGGTTTTAGCACCATCCCCCCCCCCCCCCCCCCCCCCCCAAACAAAAAAAATGTTGGCCATTTGACAAATAGGATAGATCGACAACAAGGTCAAGTTTTTCTTCGTTGTGATCATATATTTGGATCCAGCTAGGGTCCTGGAAGTTGGTGGCAAATTTATCAATTACGACTTAGCCTTATTCTTTTGTACACTTAAAATTGGGTAAAGCTATAAGATCCAATTCATGAGTAATAATAATTGCGGAATAAGTAATTTACATATCTTGATAACTCTATCATAGGCCGATGGAGGATTCATTTCTTAATGAAGCTTGAAATTAATTATCACTCGTCACGATAATAAAATACGAAACCAATTCTCATAATTTGACCAAAAGGGTTGCTTTCAAAACAATGTTCATTTTTTTTAGCAAACGATATTATCTACACTAAGGGAGTGGGGGAGTGGGCTAAGCCTGTTTGCATTTTGACGAGAATTGAACCTAGCTAAGACCTTTCACTTACAAGTGAAGATGAATACCACTAGACCGTACTACTAAGTGGCTTCAAAACAATATTAATTAAATCGAATATATCACGCATGACCATGCCATGTCAGAATATTATACTATTCTAAAAATCGCCGTCTAGGCACTAGGAGGCTGGTCACCGCCCCGATTAATGTCTAGGCGTTTGAAAATTAAGAAAGGACACCTAGGCCTACTAAGGCGTCCGTTTAGACCGCCTAGGCACCTGTCCGCCAAGACCCACCTAGGTTGCGACTCACTTAGACAAAAAATAGATAACTTTCATTTGCATTTTATTTTTTTTCAATAAATTGTAAGAGACTTGTTGACTTAAATGAACAAACATTATATGCTTGTTTCCCATGTTTTCATTTTGTTCCAATAGCTCATAATATATATAATTCTATTGTGTAGTTTATGATGAAATTATATATACTTTAAGTATAAATATACACTTATTTACACAAAATATAATAGATTTAATTAAATCTGCCTAGACCCCGACTAGGCGCTAGGCCCTAATCCGCTGCCCGACTAGTGCCTAGCATCTTTTAGAACCATATAATTTTACATCTTAATCTTAGTCTTAGGCCCAATTTGGTGTTAATTTTTTTTTCACCACAAGCTGCTTACTTTAAATTTAAGCAGTAAAAAAATGTTTGGTAAAAATAAAATATCCTACTTATTTTAAAAGCAATGACTTCCAGCTTTTAAAAGCAACTTGTAAGTTGATTTTAAAAGCTGCTTTATTAAAAAATGGAGTTTAGCCTTTAATTAATATTTTTAATTCTTGTAATACGCTCATTAATTTTTAAAAATGACATTATTTATTCTTCTAGATACATTTTATCTTTGGAGAACAAAGTGACCACCATCACCTACCACTACAAGCCATAAACTCTTACACCACCATTGCCATTACCACCACCATTGTTGCCACCATCACCACACCACAATAGCACCACCACCACCACCATCACAACCATACCCACGACACTACCACCACAACTGTCACTACCATCGTACCGCCACCATCATCACCACCACCACCACCACCATGAACACAACTGCCACCACTGCCACCACAACTGCCGCAGTCGCCGTTGCCCTTACAACCATTGTTATTTAAGCAGCCTAACCACCACACCCATTTATTGGCACCATCACCACCACCATCACAACCATTGCTCTTGCCACCGTTGTAGTCGTCATTGCCCACACTACCACATCCATTTTTACCATTATATACAATTATATAACTTTTACAAAATTTACCAAACACTTTTACACTACTTTTCATACTCACAACACTTTAAAAATACAGTTTATCAAACGCTCAACTGCTTTATTTTGCAGCTGATTATCTTTAAAGACAGCAGAAGCAATTTTTTTTTAAAAAGCATAGCAATCTCAAACTGGCTCTTAGTCTCTACTAATATATTGTTAAACTGTAATACAAGTGAAAAAGAATATCACTAATATTGTAATACTATGTGGTAGTCATTGTCAAGGTAATTACCATCTGAAAGTATATGGACGAGCCTTCAATTAAAAATTGGGATTTTGCTAATTAAGCACTATCATAAAACTACTATCGATATGGAACTGATAACAGGCGATGAGTGAACAAAGTAGGACCACTAATAATTTATTTAACAATTTGGCCAAGTTTGAAAAATCAGAAACCCCTAGTAGCGTGGAGACTTCAAAAAACTACCCTTTCAATATTTTGTGGAAAATGACGTAAATGAAATAGGTTTACCACCAAGGTGATGATATGTTCTAATAAAACCATATTGTATGTAATTTTTTTTATTACATAGTATTATATTATTAGATTGCAACGTTATGTGATAGTAAACTTTTTCATGTTAGTTGCTCTACTTATTTACATCTTACTTATTCTAATTAATTTGAAGAGTAATGATATTCATACCATATTTTTATACTACCTTAGGTTGCAACTGATGTGGATAACCACATCATTGGAAAAATTTGAAAAACCCAAGGAAATGAAGGAGAAAGACTCATCATATACCACAATCATCATTTAATTAACTAGTTTTTCTTAATTATTAGTTTATTAAATAATGAACTAAATTTAAAATTTTGATTAATTCAAATGATGTGACTGTTCACATCAAATACCACATAAAATGGTATGAAAATAAGGTACAAAAACATGGTATAAATAACATTACTTTAATTTGAATCTATTTTATTTATACAACTTTGTTCTATTCTGCATTGCATGCAGAGATAAGGCAAATCTTGATGAATTGGGAAGAAATATAACACCGTGCGGGCCATGCCTTATTCACGGGTTCTTTCTATCACCAGATTCTCACATGCAAGTTTTCGGCTTTGAATTTTAGGAACATGAAAAGGCATAGAATATAAAATACACATGAATGTTATATATATATATATCTTATTCTATGCCTACGCGGCGAACTTATTTATGAAGTAAACCCTAATTTTTCAGTGCGAATTGTTAGACCGTGTTATCAATTTATTCATGTTAATTATAACACATGCATTTATTTTATTTTTGTTCTTATTATATCTATTTAATTACACTATACCATGAGTCTATACCACGTTGTTCATCAATATTATAACATTGAATTAATAACTTTATGTGTCGGCGTAGAAGACAAAACAAGTAAACCCTAAGGTAGTCATTCATGATTTCGAGTGAACATGAAATGGCTTATAATATCAAACATATTATATATATTTAAAATGTATATATATTGGATTAATCCAGTAACTATTTTTTCTGTTGAGAAGAAATAATCCACAAATTTACATGCTTGCACTTCACTAATCTTCTCCAGACTTGCAAGTATCTCATATTTTTGACTTGTGACATGCTCATAAAACATCTAATGCCGTGCCCTACATGCTGTCCGCCTCTAACAAAATATGTGAGTTGCCTAAAGTCTACAGACAGAACGAAATCTGAAAATTGATTTCCTCCAACCCCATGAAAATCAAGAATTTCTAGGCCTAAAACTATGGGCTCAAACTTCGGTGAAATGTCATCACATATTCACATGCATGCTTCAGGGGAACTTCTTGGCTTACCAAAGAATTCTAAATGCCTTCCTGCACGGAACTTACAGGAAGAAGTTTACATCAGTCCCACACCGGGGAGGAGAACAAGAGAGGTTAACGGCGGGAGTCGTCGAAGACAAACGACGGTTGGAAGCAATGAGCAATAGGGGTGAGTGGGCAGAATTGCAGGCCCAAACGACAAGTCATGGGCTTAAGCGATGGATATCACGTTTGTGAAAGTAATGGATGGCCCTAATCAATGAAAGGAAAGGCTAAAAAAAAAAAAAAAAAAAAAAAAAGGGGAAACCAAGGGCAAGCGACAATAAGTCCATTGAAATTGTTTCTTACGGAAAGCTTTAGAATAAGTGTTTGTAGAATGAGAAATGATTTTTGCATACTCCTTTTAGTTATTAGACTGAACAAATTAAGAGCCAAAATTCAGAAAGGGTGGGTAGAAGGTGAAAAAGATTATATCTTACGGGGGAAAGGGGGTTAGATTTAGCATTTATGAGTTGAAGATGGTATAACTGCTTAATTTTGTAAGTTTTCATTTGAGATTGTGTTTGCTCACTTCTCACGTGTCATCCACACTTACTATATTTTTCGCCAAACATGAAAACTGAATTAGCAACCATAGTTGTCCCACTTTCTTTAAAATACACTCGACTCTCTCTTCCCTTCAGAATAACTCAGACTAATCTTGATACGCCGTTTTCAGTCAAATCTAGTACACTTGCACTTGTGAGTAGAGGATATGATAAGAGTTCAATTGAAACTGCTTTTGTAGAAAGCATTTCTTATGCACTTCAGTGAAAGTGCATTAAAGAAAAACATTGAAATTTATATTAAATCCAAGCACGTCCAAGAAAAGAACCGTGCTAAGTGATTCTCCTCTAAGTGTTGTTGCCAAGACCCGAAAATACTTTTGAGTTTTTATGTACAACGTAGTAAAAAATGTCTTTGATCATTCAAAAACACCTTTAGCATTTCTATGAAGTCATGCACTAGGGAAAGCATGTTGATCTCATGAATTGGTGAGAGATTAGGAATTTTGAAAGCAGGAAAATACTTTATTTCTCCTTGTAGCCAAATTACAATTCGAGTGCAAAGCCTTTTCTTTCTGTGTTTTAAGAAAGAATAATTCTGTTTCTCTTATGTAAGAGGCCGATAAGTGTTATTAAGGGTGACCAGTCCACGAGAACATGGACTTCCCATCTTGTTCTCTAGAAACCTTATGTACAAATTAATCATGGAACTTAATTTTCTATCCTCCTTTAGTAATCCAAAATTCAGATTCTCTAAAAATGTTATTCTGGGTTTTATGTGTTAGTATCAGGATGTTACAGGAATATACTTGAGCTGTTGAGATGACACCGCCATCTACATTACAAAATCTTTCAGACCAAAGTTGCATTACTCTTACAAACCGATCGAATTCGTGCTTTTTGTAGAATTACTTTCATACTCGGATCCTGTCTTCATCTGTAAGACATCAACGGGGTAAGGAACACAGTTTTATGGTGATGTTTTAAAGAGCATAGTGTACCAGTTTTTGAGAGTCCACAGCTGACGAAGTGACTGAGGAGAGAACCATTTCGGAAATGAACCAATCTACGATCTACACGGTACAAAGGTAACATTATGAAGATCATTACTACCTAACTCTCTTTACATCTAACTAATTAAAACAACATTTCAGTAACAGAATATATCATACTGACAAACTACCAATGTAGTCACTTGGACCCAAAAACAAGAATATGTTTTAGGGTTTCTTGGAGCTTTTGCTGCAACTCCTTTTCAAGTTTAACAGCTTCTCAACAATCTACATTCCTTTAAGAGAGGCCATAAATAGATTACAACAGGCAGAGACAGTGGTTTTTATAGATTAATAAACAACAACCTTGCCATAAATAACGATAAAAGTTACCAAAGGTTCTGTCCAAGCAATGCCTGCAACCTAGCCAAGATAAAGAAAGAAGAGAGGAAATTATTAGAAGAAGAAACGGAGGCAATCAATTATCATGTGCAGGGTTAGAAACACCAGAAACAAAGATGGTTTCTTTTCCACAAATAACTGCTTGCTCATCCCCCTATCCTGTCAATACCAAGAAATCCAGAAGAAAGTTATGGCCTAATGGCACTTGAAGAGAAACCCCAGAGACAAAATGAGAGACTATGAAAACAACTGTTGAAGACTTTAGCATTGTTGCGAAAGATATGGGAGGAAGTGAAAACCAAAGACGGGGGAGAGAGGGGGAGAGAGAGAGAGAGAGAGAGAGAGAGAGAGAGAGAGCAATGCAGAAGAAGTTTAGCTAGCTAGTCTACTTTGGGGATGAACCTACGTAACCTAAGCGATCAGCCAAGATAATCACATCTTCATCTTCGCCTACTTCAGCACTCGGAATGGTCAAGTCTCCCTTAAATCTCTCACTAAATAGTTCTTCCCAAAATCCTTCATCAAGCTCTTTATCCCCGCTATCTAGTGGCTCTACCACTTCCCCCTGTTCCTTTCTCACCTTACCTAATCCTTGCATTTCCATCGCAAGTGCTTCTAGCTCCGACATTTCATACTCACAATCGCCAAATTCAAGAGGCTCATTTTTAACTGGGTTTATTCCTTTGCCTCTTAGGCTTGATTCGCCGCCACCAACACCACTAGTTCCTTGATCAATTGGCCTCCTCCTTTTCTTAGTCATTGCCTCTTCAAGCTCCTTCCTTTTCTCCTTGTGTTGGACAAGCTGCTGTATAAAAGCCGGGTTCTGCATTGCCCTTGCCAAGAAAGCCATCATCTGCCGCTGCCTCATTTCTGTCTTTTGTAACCTTTGTTCCATGGCCTGAAGGTAGGCTCTAGTACTCTGCTGCTGCTGCCTAAGCTTCACTAGTTCCATCATTAGAACCTGCTTGTCACGCCGCAACCGATCAACTTCTCCATCCAGCCCAAACTGGCCAAGTTCCACACAAGTGCCGACAGTTTGCTGTCCCGGAAAAGGCTGAGAAGGTGCCTTTCTTCTTTTAATGTTCTTCAAAAGATGCTTCTGACCCCTTACAAATCCTTCATTGGCAAACTCCCATCGGTCAGGATCAACCTTTCTAAAACCCTGCAGAAGTTAATTACATTTAGGACCAAAATTCCCAAGAACCAATGACATTACAAACCCTAATTGCCCAATCAGATTCAGAAATCTATTATCTTCTCCATTAACCCTTTCAACCAATGCCCATCAAATATTTGATACACACTAAATATTTTTATCTATCAGTATTGGTGGAATGAGACAAGATAGAGACTAAATTATTCTGCACTTCACAAGGAGCTCAGATCGTGCTGAATATTGTATTACCAACTTTTGAAATTTGACACCAGTGGAAATCAAGAAAGATGAGCCACTAATGAGAAAGACAAAATATAGAAACTTAAAAAATGTAGTGATTTTCACTCCGATTCGTCTAATTCTGCGCTTCTCTCTTTACTTTTGTCACTAAATTCATATTTGATTTATTAAATCTCGAGAAAAGAAAGCCATGGAAAAGTGTAGGAAGGGTAAAAATGATTGCGAAAATCACCACCCAAAAGGACAACTCTGAAAAGGAGCATAAATTAAAAAGAAGAGAAGAGTGGATGGGGTAAAAGCAACAGGTAGTTAAAAGAGTAATGTACAACCATGAGTTATGAAATTGAAGAAATGAAAGCCATTATTTAAGTAAAACAGTATCAAGAAATGAGAACAACCTTTTTTTTATCCAAAATTAAATATTCAAAAAAACAAAAACGCTCATATGATCAAGAACATTTAGGATTAGCTTACGATTTTCTTGATAGTGTTGAAAAATATAAGAAAGAAAATTACAAGGGACTACAACGCAACATATTAAAGATCGATGATCGTATTCATCCACATAAGATTTGAGTAAAGTTAATGAGTTTCGAACACCCCCTTTAGTTATCTGTGCTCCAATTGAATATTTTACGTTCTCAACCGAATCGGATTGTTTCCACATACATATAAACTTCGAAGATCTGTAAAAACTTGATGAAAAAGGATTGAAGTTTTCACTAACCAATTTTTAAAGATTTCAGCTTGGGGGTGAAAACAGACACTTACGTAAGTGTTGAGCTGCCTCACAAAGCTTGAGAAATTATTGTGCTTGAAGTACCTAGGCAGGAGGCTCATCACAAAAGTATGTGGGTCCCACACCACAAAGCTCCCCCCTTCCCTGCTCCACGACACGACCCGATTCGAAACCGGGTCGTCCACCATATCGTATGTCTTGTTCAGAAACGGCGGAGGGCCCGTGTCGTTCAGGCCCTCCATCGGCTGCGGCGGAGGGATCATCATCACCATCGGGTCGAAATCTGGACCCGATTGAGACGAACTCGAACCCGGGTACTCTTCTTTCACTGGGTACAAATAATTCATGGCTGAAAATCGCAGAAATATGAACAAAATCTTGGTGGGTATCGAGTCTCGCACCGATTTCCACTAGGTTTTTTTTTTTCGAAATCGAATTCTGGGTCGGATTCAAAATCCGATTTTGATAATCAATTAAGCAAGAACAAGAAGATTAATTAAGAGATTAAGAGAGTAAAAAACTGACATGGGTTGCTGTTGAAATGCAAGATAAAAGGCAGAGCTGCGGTTGTCATGAGCTTCCTGCTTCCGAGTAGGAGCTCAAAGGCGCAAACTTTTCGAGATTTCTGATCAGGGAAAGGAAGATTTGAGCTGAATCTGAGCAAGAATAAGTTCTGAAAATGGAAGGAAGAGAGAGAAAGAGAGGATAGATTGAGAGAGAGAGAGAGAGAGGAGGGGGCGGAGCTGCAAAGATTGAGGCTTTGGACTTCTGCTTTCTTCTTTGGGAAAGTCGTTTTAGCCGTTATATATAGTTGGCAGGTTTTGTCACATGAGAAGAAGCTGCAAATAATAAGAGCACAAGCGGGTTAAATAGTGATTTAATCAATTTTTTTTAAAATGCTTTGGGAACGTTCTAGACTTTTGGGAGGTATTTGTAATTAGGAATTATTATTAGTATTTTAAAAACATTTTTAATAAGTATTTTTTTTTTTTTACTAATGGAAAGTTTATGATGCCAAATAAAAATTTTAAAATACTAATAATAATTTTCTAATTTGCCCATTAACTCTTTCTCCAATTGGGCAAGAATTTAAGAGAGAGAGAGAGAGAGAGAGAATGGTCCCTAGGGGAGGGAGCGAGAGAGAGAATGGTCCTTGGGAAAGTTCTGGAAGGAGGTTCCATGGAGTATGGTGGAGGCACAGGTGGGAGATTAGTTGTGTAGATATCTAAAATCTCATTGGATGAAGCATGGACCCCACTCATAATTGGGTGACATCACATGGGGAAGCACTATTGGGTGGAGGATAAATATCACAAAATAAAATAATTTGGTAAAGAGGGTTTGGACTTTGGAACTTTGGAGTTGAAGAATTTGAAAAACGCGGTTGGATTGGTTGGCAGGGACTGCTAACCAATTCTAAATTATTTGTTGGACAATTAGTGATGTGTTAATGCGTTGGGAATGTTTTGCTTTAATTGCCGTTGGACTAAAATATTGGGAATTTTAAAAAATGTTAAATGAATTTATACACACTTTTTAATTTTTTTTATGAACTAAAATTTAAACGATTTGTCATATTAAGTTTTTGAAATTATTAATTTTTCATATGTCCGTAATAATCTTGAAAGGGTGTTGAGAGTTAAAAATTCTAAAATAACTTTGAAATAAAGTGATGTGCAAGACACATGACTTATTTTGGATGAAAAATGAGTGAGATGACAAATTAATGAATTTGAAAAGTTGATATGACAAATACATTAAAATTTTAGTTTATATGACAAACTAAAAAAGCTACATAACTTATAAAATTTCAAAAAATTTCCCTTACAAATTATCCTTTGAATACTAAATGTGATTTGTTGCACAAGACTATATTGGACAAGATTAACTTCATGGATTAAGCTAGAATGACTTGACATGGATTAAGTAGCACAAGAATAATGAAACTCTTGGTGCAGTATTGGACTAAGTCACGGACTAAATTATTTTTGGAATCCAAATATTTTTTTTGTCATTTTAATTCATCATATTAATATTTTATTACTATTAATCCATACTTTTTTATCTGACTCACTCTTTCTCATCTCTCTCCACCTTTCCTTTCTTTTCTCTTACTTTCTTTTCCTTTCTCTACTTCGTATCGTCCATAATTGCTCTCAAAACGCCTTCCTATCAACGCATTAGGAAATTGCGAATAAACACCTTAACCCAAAAACCAAACATTGTACCCAACCTCTCCAGTAGCAATTACAATGGCGAATTCAAATCAAACAAAAAAAAAAATCCCAAATTGTTTTGTTTCCATTTTGACAAAAAAAAAAAAAAAAGGAGAAAAATTGAGTCGAATCCTGGAACGTCTGGCGCACCTCCATCTAACTTCGCCCCCTTCCTCAATTCCCCTTCAACTTGGAAAGCTTTCATGGATTCCAAACCCAGGCCTCACCTCCGTCTCCAACTATGTGCTCGAGCTCTCCCTTTCGACAAGGCCTAGGTTTCAGATGTTGGATTTGTAAACGATGCGTGCTTGCAAACACGCATATGTGTAAATGACGCGGGTGTTGGAAATGGGATTAGCAATCCTTTACTTTTTGGGGAGTCTTGCTAAGACCATCAGTGAAGCATTTAGTCGACACGAGTCCGACTTAGTCTCATTAAAGTTAGTCCTTAATTACTCGCACCAAATACAGACCAGTAATCCTAGCTAAGTCAGTCCAGTCCAGTGCAAATTAGCGAGGGCAAACAAACACGCCCTAACACATCTTAGGGCATCTCCAAAAGAGATGTCAATCATATTACATAAAATATAAATTTAACAGTCTATGTGGCACTTTAACAACTTCTAAAGTTTTTCTCTCCACCTGATATGTCAATTTAAACTATTATTTTATTACATTAATAATTATAATAAATGTTTAAAAAAAACTCAATAATAAAATAAATAAAATACATTTAATAATCAATTAAAAAAAATTGAAGCTGCTGCTAATTTTGGCAACAACAATAAGGGTTGACAATCCATATCATACCATATCGGATTTGGCTTTTGAGTTGAAAAAATATTATTTTTTTTACTACTAGTGCTGATTTGGATATTTTGATATCTCATTTGAGATGCTCTTATCTTCTCACATTTTAATGGCATTTTCTTTGTCGTTTTATCAACTTTGGTGTGGTGTTTTTCTTCTTTAAAATAGATGTCGACAGTAAGAGGAGAAACTAAAGGACAAAAAAATAAGAATATTTATTGTTGTATTTGAAGGTTAGAGCTTTTTTTTATTTTTTTATTTTTAAATTTTTTAAATTTAAATTTTAATTTAATTTAATTTTTTTAATTGGAAGCTTGAAGTTTAGAGCTTTAGGAGTCGTCGCAAGTGTTATGTTGGTGGATAAATATTTTTTTTCTAAATTATAAATCCTAAACCTTTTTTTTTTCTCTTCAACTCGTCTATGGGTTCAAACTCTCGTCTACTTTTAGATAAGTTAGAATAATAATAATAACGGTTTTATTTAATAAAAAACCTCAAAGAGTCTTCTAAGGGCTGATGGCTAAGATCCATGTTTCCCGAATCAGGTTTTGGTTGAAAGTTGTACATTGAAACTTACTTTAATGGTCATTAAATTAATCTTTAAATCCAAAGAGAATCCCTCCTTATAAAAATTGAGCATGTCCTACCAAAAATAATAAATAAATAAATAAATTGAGCATGAGCAGGTAGTCACCACCGTTGAGCCTGGCAAAGTAAAATGGATTTGGATACGGGGTTCAAATTATGGGGATTCTAGGAATTCTTACATCTTAGTCGTTCATTGTATATCGTGCGGTAAAAAATCATTTGAATTTTATTATTTAAAGTTAAACACAAATAGTACCTAACGAAAATTAGCTGCACGATATACGATGAACGGTTAGAATGTGAGGATTTCTAAGAGCTCTATAAAAAGGATCCGGAGAGGATCCTCATCCAAGTAAAATACCCTCTCTGGGTCTCTGAAAAGTGCTACGTGGACCAATCAAAACTTGAAACGTAGCAAGGTTTTAGCTGTTAAAAAATGCTTATCTTCTTCTAATTACGTTAATATGATTATAGAATAGTCAGACGTGGTACCCTACGATGCCGACACGCCACCTTCTCGGCACAAGCGTAGGGAAAGTGGAGTTAGGGGATTGGTCAGCACAGAGCCAATAGTGTTTCTTGTCACAATATAATATTACACAGTCACCAGCCACGCACTAACTAAGGACAAGTTGCACTTGATTAATCCGATAAAAAAAGTTAAGCATCGGTAATATTTTTGTAAGATAATGCAAATTGTGCTTGGATTCTCACTCGGTCTTGTTCAAGTTATAGGACCACATTGCTAGATATTTGTTTAGAGAAATGATAATTTAATGAGAGAACCAATAAGGAATGAGCTTATGATTCGGGCTTAGTGTTGAGTCTTGATCAGATGAAAATTACGTTATTTTTTATGTCATCCGTTAAAGATAATGGTTCACGAGGCTTAGAAGTTATCTTCTGTTTCTATCATCTTTCACCATATTCTTATTCTGTATGGTATGAAAATTTAGACCTTAGTCATTTAAATGGAATCAGCTAACTAGACGAATACAGTATCGTTGATTCTAAAATGAATTATCTCACTTTTAATAAAAAAGAAAGTTGAACAATTTTTCATGTTATTGTTCCCCTTCATAAAGCATTGTAAAATAACGTTGAAAATAAACAGTTTTGACCATCATGCAATATTGTATAATGAAAATAATAATAAAGAAATTACATGATTGATAAAGAAAAGTACAAATGATAGGTAGTTCGAATACCCTAATTATGGATTGGGTATACATTTAAATCGTGCGTGAGAGTGTTGGAGCATTTAGATTAAAGACTGGGTTCTAGGAGTGAGTCATCTGCCTTACGTTGGACATTGATTCCTTGATTGCCTCATAATACACGTGTTATTTAGAGAAGATCATGCAGATCATATATAATTAGGAATCTAGGGTTGTGATTACATTTGGCTTTACAACTAGGGGACAAGTGTCTGGACACTCAAAGCCTCAAATGTAAGTACATGTTCCTTGGTACTTTTTACTAGGAATTTAGGTTTAGGGTTGTGACCAATCTGGTTTGTGATTGCATTTGGCCTACCTAGTGGACAGGTAGCACGATTTTGGTCCTATTATTTTCGATCATATCCAAATCTGATTACATGAAAATTATTTTATCAGACGTGTAGGAGTTCATGAGTTGACCAGCCTAACTCTCAACTATTTTTCACCATAATTTGGCCCTTTGTGTCTTCTTCCTCCACGATCAACAGCATGGGACATAAATATCTGCCTTATGCATCGTTCTTTAGACATAAATATTTGCCTTATGCATCGTTCCTTAATCGCTGCGTGAGGGGACAACACGTATCCTGATGACAAAAGTCTAGATCTGACAACCCATCTTGCTCATAGAGTATCAGTTTTTAGTTTTAACGGAAATATCAATAGCTTACTTTACAGTTATATCTACGAATATTAAGATTCAATATTTTTTTAGTTAATTAGGAATGACAATGATATAAATATGTAAAAACATTTAGGATTTGGAGCTGAAGGTAGGAACCTTGACCCCATAACTAAGGGTTTGCGACTGAAATTTAAAGGTTTTGGTACTCAAGCATAACAACACTTTTTTAGAGACAGCTCTGGTGGTTTTACTGGGGCTTTGGTTCGTCGCTTTTATCATATTTCAAACCCATTGACAATGGAGTCTGTTTGAAAATAACTCTCTCCTGTTGATTCAAGTAGTGACTTCGAATG